AAAAAAAAAAAAAAAAAAAAAAACCAGGAAGTTGATAGAGCACCTGAGGTTGGAGAAATGCATAACACATCCTTTCGGCATCTGGGCTGGTGGAGAAAGAGCTTTCTTGCTGCTAATGGTGCCCCCGGTGCCTAGCAAAGTGCTTCACATGTTGTACATGATCAATAAATAGTAGCCAGATTGACAACTGAATTCTGGTCCTGTTCCTTCCGCTTGTCACTCTGTGAACTTGGACTAGCCCCTGCCCTGGGCTAGGTGCTAGGAGTGCGAGGGGTGCAGAGACAAAGCTCTGAACCCATCCCTCGTCCCCCCGGAAGCTCACGGATTCTGGGCAGTGATGAACACCATGCCTCTGTAATGGGATGTGTTGTAAAAGCACGCAAGGGAAGGCGAAGTGGTGAGGGACCCCAAAGGACGGAGCGGCCAGTCCCACCAGGAATGACCTCTACAGAGAGGGGTCACGTGGGCTGGGTTTTTAAAGATGGCACAGACATGCGGGATCGGCCAAAAATGGCGTGTGGCCAGAGAAGTGTGATGTTTGGGAACCTGTGGCAGGAGAGACCCAAAGAGAGGGGTCGAAGTAGGCTTGACCACCCTGTGTTGTGTGTGAGGACTGATTGCAAAGGATGGAAAACTCCCACGTGCAAGCAGCAGTGGCATTTGCTCACGGGATATAACAGGACACCTGGGGACAGGGCAGGAAACAAAGGCCAGCTGAGCCACGCAGAGCCTGGGTGGTCTCGGCTGACGGCATGTTGTGGGCTGAGGGCTGAGAGGTCGCCCCCACGAAGATAGCGGGTGTTTATCAGACACTCCCCGTGTGCTGCTGGAAGCTGTCCTAAGCACTTTGCACACGTTAACGCCTTGACTTTTCATAGCAGCTCTCTGAAATAGACACTGTATTGGCCCTCCCATTTTGCAGATGAAGAAACTGAGGCTTAGGATAAACACCTGGCTCCAGGCAAGGAAGTGGCAGAGCTGGGATTTAAACCCCAAACAACCTGACACCAGAGTCCAAGCTCTTAAATTGTTGCTCCTCACGCTGTCTTTCAAACCTGCTGTGTCCTCACTGCTGACCCCTCGGGCTAGAATAGTTAGCTTGAAATCATTGCGGTCTCCGGGCTTTGGTTTTGAATGGATTCAGAAAAACAAAAATGGATTTGAATGAATGATCTTTTTAGCTCAAACAACCAGTCATTAAGTGGCAAGTGAGATGTGACAGTGCCCTTGAACTGTTGAGGAGCACCCCGCAGAGTCAGGGTGTTAGGATGATCATCCTACTGGAGGTCGGTAACTAAATCCCCGCTCTCTTCTCCTTGCAGATCCTTGCCATCATCTCCATCATGTTCATTGTCCTCTCCACCATTGCCCTGTCGCTCAACACGCTGCCCGAGCTGCAGAGCCTTGACGAGTTCGGCCAGACCACAGACAACCCCCAGCTGGCTCACGTGGAGGCCGTGTGCATCGCGTGGTTCACCATGGAGTACCTGCTGCGGTTCCTCTCCTCACCCAAGAAGTGGAAGTTCTTCAAGGGCCCACTCAACGCCATTGACTTGTTGGCCATCTTGCCCTACTATGTCACCATCTTCCTCACCGAATCCAACAAGAGTGTGCTGCAGTTCCAGAATGTCCGCCGCGTGGTCCAGATCTTCCGCATCATGCGTATCCTCCGCATCCTCAAGCTCGCACGCCACTCCACCGGCCTCCAGTCCTTGGGCTTCACCCTGCGAAGGAGCTACAATGAGCTGGGCTTGCTCATCCTTTTCCTCGCCATGGGCATCATGATCTTCTCCAGCCTTGTCTTCTTTGCCGAGAAGGACGAGGATGACACCAAGTTCAAAAGCATCCCGGCCTCTTTCTGGTGGGCCACCATCACCATGACGACGGTTGGGTATGGAGACATCTACCCCAAGACTCTCCTGGGGAAGATTGTCGGAGGACTCTGCTGCATTGCAGGTGTCCTGGTGATTGCTCTTCCCATCCCGATCATTGTCAATAACTTCTCTGAGTTCTACAAGGAGCAGAAGAGGCAGGAGAAAGCAATCAAGCGGAGAGAGGCTCTGGAGAGAGCCAAGAGGAATGGCAGCATTGTCTCCATGAACATGAAAGATGCTTTCGCCCGGAGCATCGAGATGATGGACATTGTGGTAGAGAAAAATGGAGAAAATATGAGTAAGAAGGACAAAGTACAAGATAATCACTTGTCTCCCAACAAATGGAAATGGACAAAGAGGACACTATCTGAAACTAGCTCAAGTAAGTCCTTTGAAGCCAAGGAGCAGGGATCCCCTGAGAAGGCCAGATCATCTTCCAGTCCTCAGCACCTGAACGTCCAGCAGTTGGAAGACATGTACAATAAGATGGCCAAGACCCAATCTCAACCCATCCTCAATACCAAGGAGTCAACAACACAGAGCAAACCAAAGGAAGAACTTGAAATGGAGAGTATCCCCAGCCCTGTAGCCCCTCTGCCCACTCGTACAGAAGGGGTCATCGACATGCGAAGCATGTCGAGCATCGATAGCTTCATTAGCTGTGCCACAGACTTCCCCGAAGCCACCAGATTCTCCCACAGCCCTTTGGCCTCACTCCCCAGCAAGACTGGGGGTAGCATGGCCCCAGAGGTGGGCTGGCGGGGAGCTCTGGGTGCCAGTGGTGGGAGATTTGTGGAGGCCAACCCCACCCCTGATGCCAGCCAATGCTCTTCTTTCTTCATTGAGAGCCCCAAGAGTTCTATGAAGACGAATAACCCCCTGAAGCTACGAGCACTTAAAGTCAACTTCATGGAGGGTGACCCCAGCCCACTAGTCCCCGTTCTGGGGATGTACCATGACCCTCTTAGGAACCGGGGGGGTGCAGCTGCTGTCGCTGGGCTAGAGTGTGCCACACTCTTGGACAGGCCTGTACTGAGCCCAGAGTCCTCCATCTATACCACAGCAAGTGCTAGGACACCCCCCCGGTCGCCTGAGAAACACACAGCAATAGCATTCAACTTCGAAGCAGGTATCCACCAGTACATTGATGCGGACACAGACGATGAGGGGCAGGTTCTCTACAGTGTAGATTCCAGCCCTCCCAAGAGCGTGCATGTGAGCACCAGTCCCAAGTTCAGCGTCGGGACAAGATCAGAGAAGAACCACTTTGAAAGCTCCCCCTTACCCACCTCCCCTAAGTTCTTAAGGCAGAACTGTATTTACTCGACAGAAGCATTGACTGGAAAAGGCCCCAGTGGTCAGGAAAAGTGCAAACTCGAGAACCACATCTCCCCCGACGTCCGCGTGTTGCCAGGGGGAGGAGCCCACGGAAGCACACGGGATCAGAGCCTCTGAGCTACCCTTCCTGCAGCAGAGACTTGTGGCAAGACCTAAGAGGCGTGCTGTTCGGCTGACCTGCCGCAGAGCTTTTCCGCACGAACTCAGACAGACAGGCTCTGCAGAGCCCCCAGGCAGAAGAGAGACTCCAGAGGAGGCTCCCTAGGGCCTGGAGAGCCATGACAGGTACAACAGGATGAAGCGGGCCAAGCCACAGGCTATGGCGTCTCCTTGTAACAACTCTGCTGCCCTCTTTGGGAGATGACATGGGCAGAACTCATAGCCACCACTACCACATGCTAGACCTCACCAAGACTACCCAGTCCCCACTTTTCTGTCACGGCTCTCCATCGCAGCCTCGGGGGGCAACATCTCCATCCCTTGGGCTTCGGCTGGAGACGGACGCTGGACAACAACAAGTGGCTGGGTTGACCAATTTCGTTTTGGGCATTGCCCAGCCGCCTCTAGGAACTCCTGTCCATCGCCTCCTGGATGGATCCCACTGTCAGAAGGCTGCAGAGGATGCTTGTGTCGTGGGGAAATTTCTGCGCCATAAACCACGGTCCCAGCGCAAAACCCTTCCTCAGATGTCTTCATCGACTTCAGTGTTCCGTAGTACCTGAGATTTTATTTTGAGATACCATCAGGGTGAGTTGCACCACTTGTTCCCGATTCTAACTGCCCCCCGGCAACGTGGGAAGGGTTCAGACGGCAGGCACTCAGCCAACAGTGTGAACTGTGAACACTGCTTTAGGGTTGTATAAGGAAAACCCTCTCTGTACATCACTAGCAGACTCAAAAGATATGCAAGAGTCAAATATGCAAAAGAAATAGCTTATTCAAAGAGACTGTATGTTACCGAAGAACAGAATAAAATCTGATTTTTTTTTTTTACCTGCAAAAATGGAAAAAAAAAAAAATCCCCAATTGAAATGCCCAGTTCAGACTTTTGAATACTTCCTGTGGCAGCAGGGAAAGCATCTACTATGATAGAAATTCTTTTTTGTTTCCTGTGGTATTCAAGTTTAAAAAAAAAAAAAAAAGTTAAAATAAAAAGCACTTTATGTTTTTCAAAAATAGGTTCTACCAGGGACAGTGTCAACATCTTGCACTTTAAAACGAGCACTATTTCCCGTGGGCCACTTTTTGGGACTACAGTTGGGCTGTTAACTACATGCCTGTGTCGGGCCACGGTGGGTGATGTTGTGCGGGTATTGCTGTCCGCCATGTTGAAGTCTGTGGGCTCCTTCCCCGTCCCTCTGAAGCTTCCTGTGAGCCCTGGAGTGGGGCCTCTCACAGAGTCCCGTGTGCAGGAGACACGCGCATCTCGGAAGAACACAGTAGGCGGTGGGCACTGGGTGTTTACTCTGTTCTCTTTCTCGTCAACCAGCTGTTGGTATGTTTTCAGTGTCACTGTCTGTACTAAAACTCAGCTCTCCTTTCTGCAGCCATCAATGCAGCTAGTACACACAAAAGCAATAAGTATTTGTGTGCGTTGTGAGTGGTTCCGGTGTATTTCTTGGTGTTGGTCTCCCTGTCCTAGTTCGACGACCTGGCTTTGGCCTGCCTGATTTTGGGTCCAGTAAGGACGGTGGTGTGGGCCGTTCCTCAGTTCAGACACATTGGGTTGAGCCACCGGTTAGCATGATGCCCTGCTGTTGGCCCATCTGTCAGTCAAGATGACGTATCTGCCTGTCTTTAGTACAACGGACCGATGTCATTCCCTAAATACAACGTGGATGGACGATGTCCCAAGTACAGTAGTGTAGATCTGCCGGTCCACAGCACGGTGACAGGCACACGTCTTCCTGATGGAACAAACATGGCGTGGGTCTCCTGTTCCTCATACCATGTGTCATTGGTCTGCCTGTGAGTGTGATGGCATGAGCCACCTGTCAGTACACAAATAATCAGAGTCATTCTGCCTGCCCTCTGCACAATGGCATGCGGTTGGACCACCTGTCACAGGTGTCCACAGGAGTCATCCCACCGCCCTTAAAAACACCTGTGCTCTGCTGAATATGTACCTGGTTCCTACTGCTTCTCAGTGTCTCCGGGGACTGTGGATCCTTCCAAGAGGGTGCAGTCCTGTTCTTTGCTGTGTTAACAAAGGCTACGATGCCGATGCCGAAGTATCTTGCCACTCTGAGGTATCTTCAGAGCATCCTCGCAGCCACTGCAAAGGGACTTAAGGGGCAGGGAAAGTGTGAGGTCATCCTGTGCTGGTAGCACCAGAGAGAGAGGAAGCAGCCACGCCCCCAAGCGCTTTGCCGGGCACACAGCGCGGGCTGGGGGCCTACTGAGGAGCGGCCGACGGACAGTCCTCCCCGGCCCATCTCATCTCACCTGCCTCTTCTTTGTTTTCGTGACCATTTATGTCGGCCATCAGCACAAACGTGAAAATTCAGGGAAAACAAATGCTTTTTGATAAAAGTAAATAGTTGTGATTTCCGATTCCGATATTTTTAGAGCTGATGCTATCTGTAAAAATTAGTAACAATAGTAATATAGTCTATTTTACATATCAGGAAAGTGAACATGTTTAAATATAGCCATATACAGCGAGAAGGAACTTACCACCCCTTCTTCAAATCAAGGCATTTCATTTGTTGGTTGAAGCCGATGAGAAGTGTACAGATTGGATATGATTTTTTTTTCTTTTTCTTTTTTTTTAACTAATAACCAATTGGTGCAACTCTCCTTGTAACCAAAGGCCCTTTCTGCCTTGTGTGGTCACACAGGACCTGGCCCTTCCTTCCCCGTGTAGTTTGTCTGACCTTAAAGTAGCATTTTATGGAGTCACTTTTGAAGGACGAATTCAGAAGTATCATTAAGAACCTACCTTTTCAGGCTTACTAGCCAGAGTCCTATAGAGTTCTTATAGAAACAGAATAATTGAAACTCAGCATATACTATGCTTAGAAAGTATTGCATTATGTTTTGTTTTTTTTTTTTTTCCTTTTACTTGTGTATGTATTGTGGGAATATAGCTTTTCCCCTGTGCCCAATTCAAAATAGAGTATTGTAAGTTTTCCCAGGCCCCACCTGCCAAAAAGGAGCATACCCCGATTTTTAATACGTGTACACCCTACCTGTACCTGTGTATATGCACTGGGAAATCTACCTAAGAGTCTCCACTGAGAAGCTGACCTTGACAGACAGGTCCTCACGGAAGAGAGGAAGGCATGGTCTGGAGGCAAATACCACTTTACCTTGGTGATCCATATCGCACCCATTCCTGAACCAACAAAAACGGGGCGGCGGGGGGGGGGGGG